CTGCAAAACAATGAACTAAGGAAGTTTCATGCGTGTATTAACAGCGTCTTAAACTACGCCTATATTATAAACCAGATTATCTGTAATATGATAACATTCGTACACAATTTTATTATTCCGAGAAGTTCATTGTTCCTAGTATGTATACTTATTGTAAAGTAGGTAATATTTTGATTACCTACTCGAAAGTGTAGGTAGATGTGTGGGAAGCTTGTCAAATTTTAGCAATTAATATTACGTTAATTATAAACACTTAAGTATTTTAGATTAACCTTTAGTACCCACTCACTACTTTAGTCAGTAGGTATAATAATTATCGCGATTTGTGTAATAACCTAAAATTATAATGATACCTAAAGAAAAATCATGGTAAAAAATATTAAGCTGTTTATTTAGGTAGAATATAACAAAAGTCATGAATAAAGTTCATTGTAGCAAAACAAAACAATATTAAAACTTCTATAGATGACCACAGAGTAAAAATTAAATTTGGATCTTTTAAAATTTAGAATGCCACGATATGGTGTCCGTGAAAAGATTCCAATTCTAAGCATTCATTTCGGATTCATGTAAAAAATATCTTGCCCATATAAGCGTGTGGAAGGACATTCTTCCACAGTGCAAAGTCAAGCCTTTCGGAGTTTACTTTTTGTTACGATCTTTTACGCGACCCTTGTTGCCTTATACAGCTGACAGAAAAACAAACAAACTACCACTATGGCACACAATAAACAGTAAATTATTCTACATAAATATTTTATTACAATCGTAAAACTTTTCTTGAGAATTTACTTTCAATAATTCAATTTTGTTGGTATCGTTATAAAAAAGAGCATTATTTTGTAACTAGCCTCCGCCTACGGTGTTGTCACTCGGAAAATTTATTAATTTTGTTACATAAACTATCTTATCAAGCTATCTTTATTTTAAATTGTATCACAATTAAGCAGCGTTTTAGATAACGAGGGGTAACAAACAAATAAATGGCAAATACACACTTGACTAGAATAGTTATTAGAGTGTTTTAGGCATAGATATTTAATATTTCTGTGGTTTTAGCTATCGTTACGTTTAACTATGACAATGTATATTTTCATCAGTGGTGACTACATAAAGTTAACTTGTCTACAAAGCTAAGCTTCTCCGAACTCATGAATCACGTTAGAACCATGCAGGATTCTGTTAGATGTACCTACGCGGACATCAACCGACTATGTAGCTAGACGACTAGATCAAGGTGACCTTATTTACTTAGCGTACGTCTTTGTCCAAATCCTTACTGAGAAATAACTAGTTACTCGGAATTTTGTTTTGGCTTCTTCTAGCTTCGTTTAAGTAAACGAGGGAGAAGATTTGTATGTAAGACAGTAAGAGCTATAGTTAAAGTAGGTATGTAAAGTTTAGAGTTTAGATTCAATATTTTGAAATGCCCTTCTTGACTTTAGGAGCACGTTTTGTCATCATGGTGTTTCCAAAGAGGATAAATCGATACTAAAGTGAATAAATATTCCTTCTACTTCCAAAAATAGATAGTTTTTCGTACTTTTCCTCCCGTAACCATAGTAACCGAGTCTAATTAAATCGGATAGTTTATTAAAGACACACGTTTAAGGAAAGTAGAACTACCGCCGCGTGCATACATTTCCCGTTTTTCTAATTACACTTACATCGCATTTAGTACGAGAAAACTAGCTTAATGGCGGAGCTTAAACCCGTTTCACTTGGAATCACTAGCTATAAGTCTACATAAGTTAATGTTATGGCGTCTCCTAGCGCCGTAGACGAAAGAAATGTGAAAATGTTCCCCCAAAATAGCCGGCAGCAACCTTGCACTGTCTGATGGATCAATAGAGCCTTGAACTACGCTTAGTAGCGCACGCCAAACTTAACGCAGTCAAGTGGTGCTTACAATTATACATATTTACTTACGATAAGTAGACCTAAGCTGCTGGCATACAATAGTAAAGTGTAAAAGCCAGTTCTTTGTGATTTTAGTTTACTCATACGTGTCTGTCATACTTTATCTGTCAATATTAATTCTTTTTAACACTGGTCGCTTCTTGCAACTTCTTTTTCCAAGATTCGATGATTAATCGATTTCAAATTTAGAAGGTGACTTTTAAAAGAGTAAAATGTTTTTTTTATTACGGATGTGAGTTCATTAGCAAGTCTAGGTAGATATGTTAAAGCTAACACTGTTTTTAATTTAATTGCCTTGGTTTTTAAATATGTTCGCCATATGGTGAGACTATTAATGTTTATTAAGATTATTGCAATCTAAATAGAATCGATAATAATAATCGTTAGCCTTCCTAGAAATATTTGTGCTAGCAATTTATCTAAGATCTTGAGGATTAGGCAGTTGATCTCAGTCGTTTCGGCTTGGTACAATGTGCTCACAAATTAATTGGTACGGTCACGCTCACAGCTTGTCAATATTAATATAAATTGTTCGCCCACATCCTGTACAAAACCAGTATGTTTATTTGTATGTAAAGACCTAATGAAGTGAAATGAAACTGTTTTTATGATTCTATCGAAAACATCTCTATTAGATTCGAATGTGGACTAATGTCGAATGTGTGTGTGGTCGTGGTCATACTGACACATTTTTTACAAGACTATGTAAAAGTTAGTGTTACGTATTTTATTTAAGAATACCTAGATTTTAAATGAGTATTCTAATAACAATATTTATAACTTTGTTATGTAATTTAAATATGAAATATTATAATTTGATTTACGTCAATATAAAAGATTCCTATTTTATTTAATGTTTAGTGCTACCTACTTCTCAAAAAATAAGAAATAATCTTTCACAATATAACATTACTGATATCATTCGGAAAATAATAAATAACATTATGGTTTTGACGCTGAATTACGTACCAGTATCTGTGGTCAATAACCAATTTAGTTGTGGTAATCAACCTCTTTGTATCGGTTTACGATACACCTTGAGCCTAATTTAAAAAAAATCTGCCAACTGAAGCGCCAAGTTTACGATCAAATAGCGAAGCTGGGTTGATGTAATTTGCTGTGTGACATAAGCAACTAAGTACCGTTATGTACACACACACACACACACATATGTTCAATCATGTTTTAAAGTAGTATATAGGTGCTGCCTGATACATATTTTTAGACTCTTAAGAGCTCTACAAGTCTACAACCTGTCTGGGGACTAGAAGTTAGATATGGTAACGTGCTTGTGTATGTGTTTATTGGCAGTATATCAATATTAGGTATAATTTAGTGATTTATTTTCTCACTCATTTACATATCAAGTCGTGGTATCGAGTGCAAAAAATATCTGAAAGCTACTAAGCAAATAGATAACTCACCTTCATAAAACCATTTTTATGTTTATTTATTTATTTTCAGCCATGATCGTTCCACTGTAGAGTAAAGGCCTCCCTACCCTCCTTCCATTCCTCTCTGTAAAGCTTTTTGCGGCCAATCCTTGAATCAATCTATTTTTATGTTTACTGTTATGATTTTAAAATGAAAAATAAATAAACCTTTTTGGTCACTGAAAGGATAACGTGTGCATCTGGAACGTTTTATCTGGAAGCACGTAGGAGAACGCCAAGTCCAAGTCACATTAGTTATCAATTCTTTAGTAAATGTTCGAGACACGCGTATTGCGTAATCGATTAATTTATTGTTATCGATATTGTTTTCTAGATATATAACAGACCGTCTATCGTTAGGAAGGAAACACAGGCGCGACATTTACGTAATAAATCTGTCACTACTATCCTTGCATAATAGTTTATTTTTAGACTTCTCCGAGACGGGACTAAATCAATGTTTGTGCGTAAGCATCTGTGATTTGTGTGAAACTGTCCTGATAAAGACTGAATACTTTGTGACTGCGTACGTATAGGGTTCTATGGTCATCGGTAATTGACATTGACAGCGTTTTTATTTCGTAGCAATAAGAGCTGTTTTTGTTGAACATTTTTTTTACCTACTGATAGCTATAGAGTCTACTATCGCCTGCCATGTCTAGTCACGCTGTTTACCTACATACTGGTGATACGCAACCCAAGAACTTCGGCTAGGTAACTGGGTACCTACTTACTTATCTTCCGATATCAGGTGACGATTCAGTGTCGACGTGTGAAAACCACGCAATTACTCATAAAAAATACCTACCTACTTAAGAATAATTAGATATCGAATAACATTATTCACTTTGGTATCTAAAAGTTTTTTATCAAACCTAATTTCCCTAATATATTTTTTAAATAGGTATGCACATATTTTTGCAAATATGCATAGCTAGGTGTCAGTATGTAGTAGTACTTAGTTGAAAATTCAGTCAGCGACATATTTTTATCGATAGGAATCAATAGCTACTTCGATGTTATTTGTTCATTCGATGCACTTATGTAAATGTGTTATCGGAATAAAATAGGTATCGGCCTGATAGGTAGATACTTTATTTACTAGATAAGTTCCATTTTTATCAAATAGTACGTAGTATGTCAAGTGGATAACTATGTTTTTAATTTAGGTACCATCTGTTCAAGTTGCCATAACAAAGCAGCAAGTGAATATAATACATTCAAGCAATAAGATACCTAGACCTCACAACAATCATGCTAACATACCAACCTACCTACAGTTAGATCACGCTAACTTTCTTATGGAAACCTACTGACATGTGTCTGTTGCCGTCTTATCGAAAAATCAACAATAGTCGGACTCTACCTTAAAATACCTACCTACGTATTTCTAATTATAACAAACAAATAGGTAAATTGGTAATTATTTTTTTTTAAACTTTGCGGGTAGGTCGGTAATGAATCAGGGTTCCTACCCACCTACTCAATACCTACTTATTGAGTATTAAATAATTTTTTGAGTAGATTCTGCAATTGTGGCCCGATGGATCATACATAACACATTGCATTCTTCCACGGCAGCATGCAGCACTCCGCCCCCCGCTCGGTGCAGGGCAGTGTTGTCGCAAGCATTGGAGCTGGACTCACCTGCGTGGGGAGTACCGTCTCCCGGCCCAGGGGTATCGACATTTTGCTAGCGGCGCCGCCGGCCGCGCCCCGGCGCCCGCCCGCGCCGCACCATCCACCGACCCGCCACTACGGGCCGCGCGCCCGCTCGTCGGCTCCCACCGACGCTCACCACAAACAAGAAAAACACTTTCCCGATAACGCGATTTTCCACGACTTTACAGGACTCCAGCACCTCAGCTCTGAGGTATTCCGAAGACAATTTCACACATCACGAGCAAATCCTCGTTCATAAAAAGTATCACTTATAAATACTTCTAACAAATTCGATGCATATGTATAATCTGAATACGCAAGCGTTTAAAAAGCGCGATAAAATTCACGCACCGGACTAGCAGCCACCCCGTGAGGCGCGAGTGTGCGACTGGCGCGCCGCCACCGGGCCGCGGCCGTCGCGCGCATCGCTCACCCCGCGCGAGCGAGACCCTCGCACTTCGCTCGGTACGCTCGCGAACGCAATCGTATGGGGTCGCGGCACAGCCTCCTTCATCTCAGGCGGTACGCTCAGAATCCTTACGGCTGATCACATGGACACGTGCCGCGGACACGGGCGTAGTGCGGTTATCGAGCGCGCGTACACATGCGCAGTGGGCAGCACTATCACCGTCGTCGTGGCTCATTCATTTGTACAGGTCTTGCCTCGAGTAGCGCACACCTGAGCAAATATTATGGAACTGGACGACAATAGATCCGTTGTTTCGAAATGCACTATTACCGGACCAGAGCAGGCAATTCTGCAGCTTAATTTGTTACCTTCATTGGACGTTAAATTAGCGTAAAATTGATGGAATCAAAACAGGCGTTGCTAAACAAGGGGTTTCGTAAGAAGTGTCTCCACTTAGGCACTCATAAATCTAATTAACAATTTACCTACTAAGCAGGTAGAGTACAAAACTTCTGGGGAAAAAATGTAAATAAATGAAGCGCTTAGTTTTCCGTGCGATCTTTCTGTCATATTGCACATTTTGGAAGGGTGCAGAGCGCAAGGAGTGTGGCTGCGTGGGCGCAGCTCGAGGCTGTTACCTACTCAATCGGTTCGCCCACTTTTCCTTTCTACTACGTTCACTGTTCCAGATTACGTCATTATCTATACTATTACTAAGTATCGGTGTTTCGTTGACTCCTCGTTACCTCCACCGTGGGAGGTTAATGCAGATACCTCAACAGTAGGTACTATATAAATACTGCCTGTTTATTGTTGTTGCTTAAACTACAGTTAACCTATTGTTGACACAAATTACTTAGCACATTCATTTTAGTGTTAAACCTGGCATGTTTTTAGTATCGGTGTATATATTTTTGGTGTGGGCGTACAAATATAAATGTACACACATACCAACAAATCCTCTAACCCGAATAATAGTCAGTTAAATAATAAATAGGTAATTTTAATTTAAGCTTAATATCCACTGAAAACCATTTACGTGTAATTCAACTGGACAAGTGGCGCCCAGTTGCCAATTATTTTAGGAGAATCATGGTCCGTAGCATAGCACTGTGTAAAGTTGCCGAATCGTTGAGATAGTACATATTCCTTTGTTCTCTTTCTAATTAATTCAATTGTAGAGAATTCCATTTTCTATGTATATTGGCGCAAAACTGCAAAAATTGAGACATTGCGAAATCTCATATCAAATGGCAAGAGCCAAGATTCAATTTAGATCCCTGGGAGAGGACCTAAGCCCAAGCACCGCACAGCTTCCTACTGGCCGACGTGGAGGTCATTGGGGATGGCCTTCGTTAAGCAGTGGCAGTGGTGTTGTGGCTGATATGATGATATTGTAATAAGTGTTAATATAATAAAGAAATAAAGAAAGAAAAACCATTTATTTTGCTACGACACACAACAAGAATTTAGAAACACAAAAAAAGCCTATGGTGCGTCGCAGCGCAAAAGGCTGGAGCTCAGCTTAGTACCGTGGACCGGGCACAGAGGCTCGAGTCCACGGCTGATTTATTTTATTTTTACGCTGATTTTCAGCACCAGCCCGTTACAGTACGTACTAGTCATAATGTAATGTGTAATGTAATGACCTCTAAACAACTTCTTGCAGATGTTCGTTATTTTTAAATGCAAACAGACTTTCAGTCTCTGGGAAATCTGACCAGACGCACGTAATTCAATTACCGTTGACCTTAAAAGTACCTATGTACCTATAAGAGCTATTGTCACGTACCTTCCTATTTACTTTTTGAATACTCGCTCTGTGAGGTGCTAATTAGTGCAAGAAAGTGTATATAAATCTGGTAACTACCCATCTACTGCCACCTAGTATTTTATATTTCTTTCTTTTTTGTATTTTGTAGGTAGTGTGAAGATTTCGCCATTTCTGATAGGTACCTAAGCTGATTATGAGGAATCATCATTGTGTGATGGTAAAGGTCAATAATTCTGGGTTCTATTTTTCATTTGTTACAGGTTTTATGAAAAATTATTGCCTCATTGACCGAGTGTCGCAAGTGCGACTGCCAGACAAGGAGTCACGGGATCGATTCCCGGGTCGGGCAAAGTATTACTGGGGTTTTCAAAAAATTCACAGTAGTAGCAATAGGCTCACCCCGTATGACATGGGACTCATAACATAAATAACGTGGATGTTACATTGTACAGAGGGATAAAAGGCGTGATGTTATGTTATATGTTTATGAAAAATGTGTGGATGAGGTATTACGGAACGATGTACATTTTATAACAATAGTAAGTAAAAGAGGATGTGTTTTTTCTATTTTCACTTTGTTTATTGATTAAATTGTATATTCGTAACTTCTGAAACACTAATTTATCAGGGTAGATAAATGCTTGAATAAACAAATGAAGGTATTTAGGCCATATCACAATGTCTCGTCATAGCTTCACAGTGAATTGTGGAAAGAAAAATAATTAGGAACTTCTCGCTTTCCTAAATTAATTATTTTAATATGTATATTCTATGACGATAATAAAAATAAATGTTACCTGAACACCATGCATGCCACCATCATACACCGTCCATCTGCCGTACGTAGTCATATTAGAACACTGCACACGGACTCCTAAATTAAAAGCACAAAACCTCAACCGCACTGCACTTTAAAAAATAACAAAAACCGTTGTTCTTGTTCATGAACGCGCCACGGACGCAAACTCTGCACTGAATAGTTCTATGTGACACTGTAGCCTCGACAAATAAACTGTTTAGTGCTTGATTAGCACAACGTGTGCAAATCGTTCAAGTCGCGACCGAGCTCCCACAAATTGAAATTGATTGTCCGTTCTCCAGTCGTACTCATTGACGTGATTGAGTAGAATGGATGAAATGGTCCTTGTGAAGCAGTTTGTTACTATTAGGGAGCTTCGGTTAGCTGGTGCAGCTCTCCAGTTGCCGTACCATATATTGTACTATTACTTTGAGAGTGTGTCGTGGCAAATACACATATTTTCACGTAGATTGCTACCTGTGTTTTGCTTTGTCTGCAGGTGTTACGTATGTAGCTAAATAAAATAAATAGCTTTAGCAATGCAATTAATTGCTGGATATCCATTTATTCGTCTTTTCAACATAATTATACGGAGATAGACACCAATTGGTTTTATTTTTAATATCTGATAAATATAGCATTTTCTTAAGGGGGTAAAATCATCGAAATACTTTTTCCGCCTGGGTGAGGCGGGAGGGTGTCAGACTCACTGACGAAAAACCACCCCGTTCCTATTCCTGCACTTCGAGGCGGAGTCCTGGCAACCCGTTAAGACCTCCGCGGCATAAATATAGTACTGGAATACTATTGATCCTATCACCGAAGTCGGTTGAGTCTACAAAATAAATTAATGATTGCTAGACTAGAGACCCCGTTCAAGGCTAGTCAAGTATCATAAAATATACTTGTAGCTAAAGGCTATGTTTTATTAAGAAGACACTATTTTTGTAATTTATAGCCTAGGTAAATAGGTACAGATACAATCAACGGTAAATCTATGACAGTTAAATGTTAATAAATAACTTTATAGCTATAAAATAGTAATAATAATTGTTTAGACACACATCTATACGATTGTAACTACAGGGACAGTTTTAATTAATTAATAAACCTGTTAGAATTATTCTACGCATGGTTATGGTTATTCAACTGGCTGCACTAGTTCATGCGGGACGCGGCTTCAATTCCCGCACTGACACATTCTTTGTGTAACAATGAATGTTATTCTGGATTTAGCTGTCTAGTGTCTGTCAAAATTACTGTTTGCAATTAATGTATAACTTCTAGTGTGGGGACAAACTTTAAAAAAACGTAAAACGTGTTTCGCTACAGTAAGTATTTACACTTTAAAAAATAAATAAAATACTATTATTGTGTTCAGCGTTTAATAGCGAAGTCGTAGGCAATAGTTTGAGTAGCTCGTAATTATAATAAATTGTTCTAAGGTATTATCGGTTGCTGCGGCGACTCATCCGCAAGTTTCTCTCAATCTCGTACTGCCGTACATCTGCGCGTTCCAAGAAATCGCGTTTGTCCAAGTAACTGTAACAAGAAGACATTAATAAGAACAATAATACTATAAATTAAAATCACGAAAATGTATCTTTAGTACAGTTATTATATTATACAGTTATTATAGTTTGTTATTATTTGTACTTCTGCCCTTAAATCTGCGACACCAGACCCGAGATTGAGGTAGTGGTGGTCAACACCAGTTAGTCTCATGAAAAGGATACAAGCTGGTCAGTCTTCTAATGAAGTTATTTGCCCGTTCTAAAGTGTACATTTCTATGGAGAAGAACGAGCAACAAACTCCATAGGTTACTCTTTTTAAATCAGGATCACGATACAATTCTTAGCTACATTGTTTCGTTGGTTCAATTATATTAGAACAATGTAACACCAATATCCAGTCAATGAGAGATAGAAAAGAAAATAATCTATGCAACATAATAATAACTGTAGATGCCAAGCTACTCTTAAAAAAATTAAAAGTGCAGTCATTCTTAGCCTGACTCGAAGATCTTGTGGAGCTTAGCACCGTTTGTGTAGGGTATTTGTATGAGGAGTAAAATGAGCTGCACTCGTTTAAGGTTGGTATGAGACTGTTTAATTTTAAATCAAATTAATCCATGCTAGGGCACAGGTGACATTATAATCACATGATCAGAATCAGAATCTCATGATGACATAGAATAGGGACGATGATCGCATTTTTCTGCTTTACTTAGTAAAATAACATTTTACATACCCATTTTTTCCTTTATTGTGACTTTCAATTTCATCTTCAAGGCCTTCTTCCTGTTTGTAAGTAGACCAGTCAAGTTTCGACTTCTCGAGGGTTGATAACTGGTTCTTCTTGTTCAGCTGACCGAGGACGTTGGACAGGCCTCCACCTCCAAATCGGCTGCGTACTGGCGTTTGTACTTTGCTCCCTGGAATAGAAATGGTATACGCAACATAAATATTTGCAACAGAAATAATCGCAAATACTATTGGTAGATAGTCTGCGAATAGCTTCATAAGGTTAAACCGGGATCGATTAGTCGCAATATAAAACGGCATTTTACTTTCTGGATTATTCAAGAGAATTGAGTCACTACTTTCAACGATCTTCACAATTCCTACAAAGTATCAAGTAATTTTGATCTCGTTATAAAGTTTCAGTGTTGAACTTTATCAAACCCTTTCGGAACTTTATTATTTGACCCTTGTTAAGACCTTTATCACGGGACAAAATGATCGTTTCTAGTAAAAAAGGTTGCGTCCAATCCAATCTCCGCCCCAATCAGTTTCAAATACATTTCCTAAAGCTTAAGAAACTTGGTTAACTGAAATCTGCTTTGAAATACAAAAGTCGATGCAGAGCTTAGTGCTTTTAAAGTTTTAATGGAATCGGTTGCCTGCGACTTGGCATTGTGCATAAGTTTTCTTGGCAGTGCTTACTTTGGGTCGCTATCACGGAGACTGGTAAACACAAATAGAGGAATAGTCAACGGTCAGCCATCCCGACATCTTAAATTTTGTGACTACTAATTATCCTATTTTATACATGTATCTTAATACGTTAAATAAGGAAATTCATTCTGATTTTTTTTTAACAAAACAGCAAACACGTAAAGTTACTCTTTTTTTAAGGTGGGAAAATCATCGAATGACTGCTCCCGCCTAAGTGCGGTGGGAGGGAGTGTCAGACTCTTACTGACTAAAAACCACCCCGTTCCTTCTACTGCACGTCGAGCCGGAGCCCCAGTAACCCGTTAGGTTCTCCGCGACACGTAAAATAAGTCTTAGACGTCCGAATTACTTAGTAACCCGGGACGGGTTAAGAATTAACGATGGAAAAAGAAGTCTGGAGTTCGAAGGTATTAAATAATACAATAGATCATCATCAATCCTTACCTCTTACTAATATTATAAATCGGAAGGTGAGTTTGTTTGTTTGTTCCGCTTTCACGCTGTAACTACTAAACCGATTGCTTTGAATTTTTGCAGACGTAAAGTTAGAAGTCTGGAAATAATAGGGTACTTTTTATCCCGAAAAAAAAATGATATTCTCGAGGGAAAACGAAATTATTGGTATAGATGGCGCTGTGTGTATAAGGATCTGTCACATAGGCTAGGTTATATAATGATGAATAATTGTAAATATATATAAAATATCGACTAGTGTTTACACCCAATAACAAAAAAAGCAAATTTTAAATGGTTTAAATTGAATACCGTGTACATCTACTATGATAAAATAAAACATAATTATGCTATCAATGCCACATCTAGTAAAAATAGTTCATGTATCAAGTGATTGATTCATTTATTGGTTTACCCACATTTACTTCTTATTTTTGTTATAGTTTACTGGTCTGCCCGTGTTACTGGATTCTGTTCTTTGTGTATATTTATCACTTTACTCACATTTTTAAAATAGTGAAAATTTTTGTTTGATCTTTTATACTATTTTGTATTGTTATTGTTTATATGTACGTACTACTGTGCGCTCTAAATTGCTTACTTTTGTGTGACTTCGCTCTAAATTGCTCACTTACTCAGTAAGTGAATTATGTATGTGATTTTTTAAGAGAAATAAAGTTATTCTAAGCCTATATTTTCATTTTAGATCTAGACAAAAATAAATTGAAGATCTATTACCTGTAGCTGGGCTGTCAGCAGTTTTAATCTTTTCTTTGATCTTATTATTTTCGACAACAATAGTTTCTCCAGCAAATTCAAATATTCTCTTTTCTCTCTCTTTATCATCGCTCGTGCTGGATACGGCTTTCTTGGACGTTTCTTCTTTAGCTATAGTTTTAGGTGTTTCAATGGTCGAGCTAGTCACTGTCGAGGTAGGCTTAGGTTTAGTATCGGTTCCTTCTAGAAATTTCGCCCATAGATCATCTTCTTTCTTCTTTTCCTCTTCAGGATTTAATACTTCTTCGCTTTTCTCTATTTCTCTCGCTGGAGATTCCTCTTTTTCTACTCCACCATTCCGTGTTCTACGTTTCTTTGTGCCAGTTTCTTCTTTAGTTCCTTTTCGTTTCTTTGCCTTTTGCTCCAACTCTTTCTCAAACTGCATGTCTGTTTCTTCATTTGCTGATTCTTCTTCCGATAATTTTTCGGGTTCCCCAGGCACGTACTCTTCATCACTCTCGCTTCCTGACGACATCTGAAACAAGATGGGAGAAAATACTTAGTTTTGTTACCTAGACTCTAGTTGTAAATTATTTAAAAAACTTTGTATTAATAAGTACCTTTTGATTATTTGAAACTTAACAGCTACTGGCCAACCTGTAATCAAATAGGTACAAGTACATGATTATAATTAAAAAATATAAGGTTTAGTATGAATCGTAAAAAAATGTGTTTACCATTTAATAACAAAAGTTCCGTGTAGGTTTGTAGGTGTCTGTAATGCGTATTTAATTAAGTGCTACTTATATAAAAGTAAGTTCCTTTATTTTTCCTTATAAGACGAAGTATTCTCTACTACAGGAGAGATTTATACATTCCATGTTAGGTATAATGCTTACAATAAGTACTAGTGATTTCATTTAATGATTATAATGTTATTTTAACATAACATCACACTTAATTCTCGGAGGGATATATGCATAGGTACTAACACTTTTTAAGAGTGCTATATGTAACATTACCATGTTGTTATAATTACCGACTTCAAAAAAAGGAGGAGGTACTATGTTCGGCTGATTGTTTTTTTTTTTTGTTAGTTCACGCAGTACTCCGCCATTTGTGAACCGATTTCCAAAATTCTTGTTTTGTTTGAAAGGGTATACTCCCGAGATGGTCCCATTTCCATGAGGTCAGGATCTGATGATGGGATCCTAGGGAAACCGAGGGGAACTTTCGAAAATTCTATGGGCGAGTAATGCGTCTATTATGTTCTTCAATTAGGATTTTGAAACACTACAATTTGATAAGGGTCTGGAGTTGACCTGATGATGGAGCCGACAGGCAGTCGAGGGAACTTCTCAGCGGTTTATATTAACTACCTTGAGTTTGGGCTTGATTAATTTGGATTGATGAGGACTTTACACCTAAATAGAGTACGGCAGTCATTAAGGATCTGATGATGAAGAAGTGTAATTGTTAAAGGAACTCCTTAACGGTATACAGTAACTACCTTGTGTTTGGGCTTGATTAATTTGTATTGATTAGAACTTTGCACCTATGTAGATTATAAGTAACAAAACGGGTATATGTAGCTTTATACTGAAAATGATAAAATAATAAAACAAAAACTGCGTTTAAAAAACCGACTTCAAAAAAACCAAAAACTAATAACAAACAATAAGTCAAAACTAAAAAGCAAAAAATAACTATTATTAGTACTGATAGGTTACCCACCCACTGATAGGTTAGAAGTCGGTGCCATAAGCTCATATTATAATGATATAACTTAATGCCCACAAAATTGTGAATTAGGTACCTATTAAGGTTTTAATGAATAATTTTGTATGGAACTTATTTTTCATATGAAATCCAAAGGAGGTTTTTATAGGTATTGAATAATTGGGTAATAAATAAAATAGACAGGTGTGATAAATAATGTTTTAATACATTTATTTAGTTCAGACACGAGGTTTCTTTGCTCTATTTCTGTTCTTAACATTAGAGACTTCATAGAAGTTGCTTCCTGTTTTAGTTCTCTTCTGAGCTCTTTCCAAAGCCCTTCTGGCTTTCGCAGTCATTTTCTTAACTCCGCCATCCTTAACTCCTACCTTATTTTTCTTGCCACTAGGTATTTCTTCAACTGTAAATTGACCACTAGCAGCTTCAAGTTTCTTGCGTTTCATCTCTTTCACAGTCTCTGGGTCATTTGTTAAGTGATCTTCTAAATCACTACAATTATTCTCATCCTCACTATAAAAGTCACTAATGTCTGACGAGTCAGGGTCCTCATTGTCATTCTTATCATTTTCCTCATTGACACTCTTAGATTCATCATTTTCTGCATCTTCATCATCAATGCCTTGAAGCTCTTCAGGTATATCAAACTTCTCTAGTGGTTTAACATCATCATCATTATCAAATTGGAGGCCAACCCTAATCTTTGCAAAATCTTGTGCAACAATTAATTTGTTGATGTAAACAGGTTTATCAACATTATCTTCATTTTCTTTCTCTGCATCTTCTTTTGATTCTTCAACAGCTTCATCTTTCTTCTCCTCAGCACTAGCTTTAACTTCTTCTGTTTTTTCATTGTTTTCTTGTTTTGAAAGTGGTACTTCAAAACCTTCAGGAGCTACATAGAATGGTAGTTTCCCCCTCTGCCAATCATTTAGAACCATCCTAGCTACCTGACTAACATCGGGTTCACCTTTCTTCAATAATTTCCCAGTACGAGCGGCAAGTTTCTCTAGGAATTCAGTAGCAGTGTCCCATGCATCTACTTTGTATGTTTTCACTAAATACTCTTTCCTGACTCTCTTTATAACTTCTTCTATGTAGTCTTCTGGATTTTGTACTAATTCAACTCTTACTACTCCTTTCAGTACTTTTTCAGTGTCTGTTTCAGCGGAAGGATACACCACACCAGGACAATCAATCAAAAATATTCTCCTCATCAATGTGATGTATTGCCATACTTTAGTCTCACCAGCTATAGGTGCCACCTTGCATACTTTCTTGGCTCTTAGTGTATTGATAACTGATGACTTTCCGACATTAGGATAGCCAATCAAACCAACACTGATTTGCTTCTTGTCAATGTGTAATTTAGCAAACTGTCTCAACAAGTTGATAAGAGAACCTTTTCCAAAGGGATGAGTCATTGAAGCATGGAAAGCTATAGTGGGGTATTCAGTACTGAGAATAGCCACCCAACGCTGTGTCACCCAATTTGGTACTAAATCTACTTTGTTTAAAATAAATATAAGGTGCTTGTGCTTCTTTTCTTCTCTCAGGAACTTCTCAACATAAGGGCATCGAGTGCCCATGGGATCTCTGGCATCTAATACTTGTAAGAGGACATCAGAAGAATCTATTACTTTGTACAATTCATTCCAAATTCTTTTGCTCATACCAGCTCCAAACACCCAGTCTCTCTGTCCTTCTTTGACGCCAGTGTCTTCACGGACTCTGTCCACATCTTTTGTTTCATCATAATTTTCTGTGCTTTCTTCTACAGCCTTTGACAAACTATTTAAGTCACTGAACTTTAAATTAACTCTCTTTCTTTGTTTCTTCGGGCCAAATGTTTTGTCGAATCCTTCGGTGTCCAACAAATGTACTCTTGCATTTTTTGCTTTTTCATTGAGCAATGTGATCGGTAGGTTTGTGGGTTTCATAATCACTTGGTATGGATTCTTGACAGCTGCGCCAAATTCATCTTGGAACTTTTGGAGAGCACTCTGTGATATTACTCGTGAGTTGCCAAACCACTTCTGGCTAGGCTCCACACGAGCTTGGGTTCCTGATGGTAACCAACCTTGGAATGGTGCTGGGGTCAAAATTTTACCAGTTTTATCTCTCTTGGCCTTAAAGTTTCTGTACATCTGAAGCCGTTTGATGGTTGCTTTAGTCCTGGGCTTTGCAACTCCTTTCAATCCTTCAGTCGGTCTATCTGGGTTCATTGAATGTGCACCTTTATTGAACCCCTGTTTCCGGGGTGCACCCGGAGCTGAACGTACCTTCCCCATTTCGTTATGTACCTTAACACTTCCAATATATTACAATACAATAAAATAACCACAACTCACGCGGTCTACGCAGAAAAATAAAGGTTATCATCAACGTTCGCGGATTGCTTTGCTAATGTCAAACGCTAAGCGCGAACTTCATAGCAATGGAAAGTAAAGGAAAGAGCTGCAAATTAACTTACGATTTTCAAGTGCTTATCACTTCCTTGCAGGATAGTTATATCCGGAATGTTTACGAGTGTAATTTTTAACACAGTCAATAACACAACAAATAAGCACACCACAAAATTATTTTATTGGAAAAAACTTCAAATTCTCCGGTGGGATAAGCTTTTGTCTAATTGTTGCTAACTTCATTGTATACATAGACAATCAGATATCACTTTTTATTGATCATGATGAAATTAATTGGCTACACTAAATATGTTATTTGAGTCCTAGGTAATTTAGCAAATTAGCACCCAGCAAAAACTCCATGTAAAAAGAATAAGATTTATTGTATTACGAGATCAATACGAAATACGAAAATACGAAAATAAAACAAACAAATGAAATATTAGCATCTGTCTCTGCCTCTGCTCTCTCTCTCCCTAACTTTATCGAATTTAGCATTTCTTCTCCGCCGCCCTGAAAAAAATGTACACTATTCCTAAAACATTGACTCATTCGTTAGAGATTGACATTTGGTTGTCAAGACAAGACTGTCAAAAACAAAACAAAATGTCAGCTCCGAACCAGTCGATCAGCCGTATTTTTTATCAAATAAACATTAGTAACTTATCCTAGAGTTGATAAGATCCATAATTAAATATGTTAAGTAACGGCGTAGGGTCATAATTCATAGAATATGTAAGTGAGTATTTAGATTAACGAACCGTTCCAAAGAAGTACTTGGTGTCGTAAGAATTTTTTCGATAAATTAAACTGCCCCGATGCCTGTAAGCTTTAAAAACGGAAAGACAACATGTATGACATGTTGTCAGAGTTTCGAGTGTCGGAATTTGATTCATTCGTGGATATATTAAGATTGACTCCTGGTGATCCACTGAATACATTTGGTGAAATGTGGTACCCCGTGTTCCTGTGGTCTTTGTTCTCATCAGTGTTTGTGCATACGTGTGCGGCACTCGTCGCGTTTGGAACTCTGAGAAAGCACAAGTATGGGAAGTTCTTCCCAGTGTTGTTAATAGTGATGGGTGTCGTGACTCCAGTGACTTCAGGTGTGGCGACCAGTGCTGCGATCGCGTTCATATACCGAGCCGCTACGTTAACTATGCCTCCCATACATGCCATGATCTGGGGAATTGGACAAACTGTGCTTGGAGCTGGGATGGGTTTCACAAGGATTTTGGCTACTTTGTAATAATGATAACTAGTTTAATTTAGCTAATTACATCATGTTATATTTATGAACTATATAACTATATAATTTACTATAAATCCAATAAATTCTGAGTCAATTAACATAGAATATAGAATGGGAATGTAGTGAAAGGAAAGGTGCTGAATGATATGCATAACTTCCATGAATGGAACAGGTTGACTGGTGGTCAAGGTTCTCCCCATAGTGAATACTCATTAGCTATCTGATGTAAATATATAATCATTGATATGTAGCGGCATATAATACACAATGTGCTTAATTTTTGTATGAACTATCATGTCTTGCATATTTGTATAAATTATAGTAAAGAGACCTAGGGAATTCATTATGAATATGACTATGCAATAAAATAATGAATTGTTTTAGAATGTAAATATGTGCCTACCTATAAAATATAATGACTGATGTTTCACAAAGAATACATATTTCTAGTATTAGTTTTTCTACTTAAAATCATATAGAAACAATGGTATTGTTCAATGAATCCTAAATTTCATTATATTTTAAATATTATCTTGAATGTATTGTGATAAGTTGTATACCTGATCCTACATTTTCATTGTAATCATAAAATATGCATTCCATGTTAAAATTGTATGAAAAATTAATTATTAGCATTGACATTGTCATTGATTGTATTAAAGTTGAAATTATTATTTGACTATTTTTGCTCATTGCTTGATTATATGAGACTTATTGGGCCCACCGACATACCACAGAGAACATAATTCCAGCATTTGTTTGAGTGTAGCTTATCCTCTTGTATGCCAGAATTTAAGACAAAGTAGAAAACACCTTGTGTCTCAAGTATATCTAGGCATACTATGGGTTAGTCATGTCATTAAGGATGAAATCTCCTAATTTTAATTGAAATCAATTGTCATTACACTCATATCTGGGTTTGTACTTATGTTTGTGTACATAATAGTTCCCTAATTTGTCAGTATAATTATTCTATAAGTACAATCTGGACTGTGTTGAAAAATAATTATTCTTATCATCAAATAGGGCCACAAAAGACCTTTATTTATTTGACAATGTACAATGTTTACCACTCACAATTAAAGAAATGATATTTTAATTTATTTATAGTAATAATTAATTATTTTGTAATCAATTGGATGAAGATTTAAATTATATTTTCTTTATTGACATTATTTATTACCTATTACAATTAGATATTCATACTGTTATTGTTAAATGGAGCATGGTGATACTTTTAATATTAATATTTCTGTGGTTTTGGGATTTATCAAATGGTGTGACGAATATTGCATAAGTGTAACGAAAGCAAATACAATCAGTAAATTATTGTTGGATAAAATGTGACCTGATTAGTAATAGATTACTAAACAGTTTCTATGCAGCATGTGCATGTGCATGTGCATGTATTAGTTATCTGGGCAATAAGTTATATGAGCTGAGGCCTGTACATACACAGGAATCAAATTATAGCATGGCAGCAATTATAGAAAGCCATAAAGTTCAATTTTGACTGTCAAAACCACAGTATCACCATGTAAAATGGAAGTTTTATAATATTTCAAATATTATTTTTTCACATTTTTGTACTTATCATGTACAATATTAAATATCACGTTTGTAGAAGCAAAACTATAAAAAAATGCAAAGCTAGTGTGATCATGTTGTAAATAGATATATATATGTAGAGGAACATTTGAAAAAAGGGAAAATCATTTTCCATATTTCAACATTATCCAAAGGAAATAAATGGTTTGGATATAACTATGTTATTTTATTACGAAAAACCTTTATTTTATCTAATTTAAATTACTATTTTGTTATCCTAGAATATTTTTAACCAACTTCCCAAAGAGGAGGAGGTCCTCAATTCGGTCAGTATGTTTTTTACCCCTATTTTTTTTAACTAGGGTGAAAATAAAACTAATTTCTTAACACATAAAATTAATATATTAGACCTTTATAATATATGTATTTACAGAACAACCTTTATAAACACAGCACAGAATCAACTTTGTCAAAGACATTCATTTTTATCAATGAAAATATTCTAGAAACAAGATCTGAAGATCTAGATTATCATGATATTAATTTACTAATTATTATCATGTATTTCATACTACAGTATAAACAAATAATATATTAAGTTAGTATACATCTTACCCTGTATTTGAAAATTGTAGAATTTTAATACTATCATACATCTTATAAAGTGCTGCTACTATGAGAATATTTAGCAAAAGATTTACGGCTTCTGTGATATCTTGCGCTTTCTTCATCATCCTCATGGCTCTCTTCATGAATCTCATCCAGCATGAGAGGTAACTCATATTCATGGTCCTTTGCCATGGGAGTCTGAAAAAAAAAGTAAAAAAAAAACTAAAAAACGTTTTTTAATTGGCAACCCTGGAACAATTTATAGATTTTAATAATTTTGAAGATTAAAGAGAAGAACTGAGTATTAATTGTATTTGCTAAGCTATGTAATATATTTACATTTTTTTTAAAAAGGCTTGAACCTTGAAATGGGAATGTTCAATAATATTTTTGTAAAGTGGGAATTGAACCCAGGACTTGTTTCATAAATTCAATGAAATGTAGGTAGATAAAGAAAATGTGATTACCTCATGAGGTTCATCATCTCTCCTGGTTAATCTGTTAACACTTTCTTGCAATAATTTAGTTTCCGAAGTTGCATCTTGCAATGCTAACTTTAGTTCTACAATCTCCTTTCTTGCATTTGATAACAACTTTTCTGTAGTTGATAAGTTCTGTTTCATTTCTTCATTCTCGACTTCTAATTTAGTCTTTTTATTTGAAAGGCTTCTAATTCTGGTCTCATACAGTTTCATTTCAGAATCAGTTTCATTAATTCCTCTGAGGGTATTAGAATTTTCTGACTGTAAATTACTACACATCTGCTTCAAGTATGAAACATTTTGTTCCAGAATAGTCTTCTCTTCTGAAATAAGTTTTACTTCATTTTCCAAAGAGTTTATTTTGCACTGCATAGCAGCTATCCGTGAGGCTTGAGCTTCTACCATAGTTTCTTTGTCCATCAATTTAGCTTCTAAGTTTTGAATCCTGCTTGTAGAAGTCTGTAGCTGTACTGTTTTTGAAGCTGATTCACTCTCTAGAGAATGATTTGTATTTTCCAAAATATTAGCTTCTACAGAGAGGCTGGCAAAATGTTCTAGCATGTCTGCTCTCTCTGCCTCTTTTTGTGACAATAGCTCTTCAATACGCCTGATTTCAGCAACATAATGTTGTAGCTGTTGTCTCAAGGTATCAACTTCTTTACGAGATTTATCATATTCTATTTTATTAAGCTTCAATGCACCATTGGCATCAGCCAAACTATTTTGCAGGTGTTTATTTTCCATAATAGCAGTATCAAGTTGTTTTGTGAGCCGTTGTATTTCACCATTTAAGAAATTTATTTGCGTTTCATGATCTGCTAATTTATGTTCAGATACTTTATTTACATTCAACTTTCTCTTTAAGTCTGAGATTTCATTTTCTAATTTATCTATTTCATACTTCTGGGATTTTATCTTTTGTTCAAGCATACATGTGTTTTCTGTCTTATGATCCAGCTCTATCACCAGTTTGTCACGTTCTTTGTCAACCTTTTTAATGTTATCTAGTAGATTAGACTTGTCGTTTCTTAAAGATGAGATTTCAGATTGTAATTCCTTGCACTTTCTCTCCAAAGATTCTATAGTATCATTAGATAAACTAAGTTTCTTCTGTACACTCAATAATTCATTTTGTAACTCATTGCCACTCCTTTCAGTTTCTAATTGAATATTTTTAATTTGACTTGAAAGTGTTTTTTCTTTAATAACATCTGTTTGCATTTTCTTTAGTTGTTCTCTCAAAAAGTTGCATTCCTCTTTCAGATGTTCAGTGGAAGCCATTCCATTCCTACTTGTCATTTTGTATGAACAGTTTTCTGCTTCTAAATGCTCAATTTCTTTCTGTTTAAATACTAAATCCATTTTTAATTTCTCAGACAACTCTAAGGCTTCTTTATATCTTAAGTTATATTCTTGTTTATCTTTCTTCAGTAATTGTATTTGATTAAGTAATTCATTAACTTGATCCTTGAGCTTTTGGGCATCATTTCTATAAAAATCACCTCTATCACTATGTCTGACTGTGTTCAAATTTTTGTATTGACTCAGCTGTTTACTTAACTCAATGTTTTCTTTTGATAGCTCAGCATTTTCAACATTCAACTGACTGATAACATCTTTAAAGTTCTGCTTACTATTTTCTTCTAGATAGCTTGTTTTCCTTTTCAGTTCATCATTTTGTTTCATTAACATCAATATTTTTTGTTCACCTTCACATAGTTTTGTGTGCAAATCTCTTATGAATGCATTTTCCTTGGAACTACTTACTTTAGGACTTGCCTTGTCTTTGCATTTCGACATGTGATGATTAAAAGTATTCATAATTTCATTCATCTTTTCTTGAACAGTTGTCATGTGAAGCTCATATTTATTTCTCTCTTCTCTTAGGAGTTTTTGTAAATCAGTTTTAGTGAGACAGTCCATTTTATCTTTATTATATCCATATTCATCACCGTGATCTGCTGGTTTACTTAATTGGGGCAATTTGAAAATCTTATCTTGTAAATTTTTGTTAAGCTCTACCAAATCCTTGACTTCACTGTGTAAGGCATCATTTTCTTTTAAAGCTGCAGTCAATTCTTCTTGTAATTTAATAATTCTAGGTGTATTGTCTTTTAATTGCTGTTCCTGAAGTTTTCTTTCTAATCCTGAATTTTTCAATTCTAAACCTTCCACTCTCTTTTGTAGAAATTCTATTTCTTTCGTCATTGAAGTCAATCTTATGTTGCAATCCTCTTCAACTTTTAAAGCCAAAGTGTCAACCTTGTGTAATTCATCTTGTAAACTTTTATTTTTGTCTGCAAGACTGAGTGCTCTGAGCATGGCTTCATGCTGTTTCTCTAAACCATTATCAACCTCTTTTTTTAAAAGTTCATTTGCTGTTTCCAGTTCCCTTAAATCTTTCAGTAAAGTCTGAATTCTTTCACTAGAGCTTAGATTGCAACAATCTTTACTGATAGCTGTCAGAGGTCTACCACCTTCTAACATCATGTTGAGGCGAATAATTTCTTCATCTCTATGTTCAACTTGGTTTTTGAGGACCAATATTTCATCACAATATGCATCATTCTTCTCTTCAAGTGCATGAATCTTGTTAGTTAGTTCTGTTACATCTTTATCACTGTATGTATTCTTTCTCTCATTACATATACACACTTTGCTTATGCTGGTGCTCTCTCCCTCCTTTCTTTTACTTTTATTTCGGCTGCTAAAAGTGTCTGTACACAAACCTCTCAGACTTAGGTCTCGTATGTCGTGCTGCAGTTTACTAATAGTTACATCTTTCTTCATAAGCTCTTCAGTTAAACTTTTGATTTTTCTTTTGGATTCTTTAGAAAGTTTAAGATTATCTTCAGTTATTTTCATAACTTTTTTGTGTAGCTGATTGTTTTCTTGTATTAGTTTAGCGTTGTCGCATTTGTAAGGCTCTGCCTCCATCATCAAAGAATCTCGCTGCATAAGAGCTTCTTTAGATAAATCCATGTAATGTTGTAAGCTGCGTGTAGTTTGTAAGAGATCTGCTAGTATAGTTTCTACTAAGGGAACTGCATCTATTGGTAGCGAGATGTTATAACCGAGATCCTCCAACTTACGCTTTAAAGTAAAATAAGCTTCACCCATTTTGAAAGTTTTTACAGAACACGCACAAAAAATACTATATAACAATGTTGTTTAAAATCTAACGTAATAATGACATGTTAGGATTGTAAAAACAACATTTGGTACATGTTCGGTTTTAAATTATTTACAAAATTTAATTCCAAATAAGTAACGAGATTTCAAGTTTTGTTTGTATTCGGATTTGATTGACAGGTCAAACAATGTTACCAATTATTCACAAACAAAAAAATCACATAATAGGAAGTTAGAAACAAAGAAAGATGTGTTTTACTTTTGTTCAATTGAACTAAATCACTACTTTTTATCCAATGTAAAGATCACTCGTAATTTTGAATTATAAATTCTTTTAGGGAATAAATGACATAAAAACCGTAAATATCATACAATGCAAACTGATTGCCCCTCTCTAGTTAAGTTACATTAAAAAGTAAAAAATGACGTTTTACTTGAATGACATCTTCGTATTGTTATTTGTCAAGTTCAGTTTTTGTGGAATACATTTTCTTATTTCATATGAAGAAAAAAACGTTGAATGAATAGCGAAAAAAGTTGTCGTGTATTAAGACAATAATCATAGTTTTAAATTACATGTGACATGTAAACAATTGTGTGTAACAATATGAATCCGTATAAGGATATTGAAGAAAGTTCTTTCGCAGCATCACCTCACTTAGCTTATGAGGACATTGCTACGAAACTACTTAAAGACCACTACTTCCTGACTGCCTTGGAGCTTCATACAGAGCTAGTGGAGAGCGGCAAAGAATTACCGCAACTCAGAGAATTCTTCTCAAACCCAGGCAACTTTGAACAACATGTTTCTAGGGCATCCGATTTTTCTTCAATGCGTAAGTTTATTGTTTTTAATTGCCGCTAATAAAAGTAATAAGCGAGAAAAATATTAAAACATGTATGTACTTTTTAATATGCTTAAATTATAACTGTTCTTTGGGCAATCTAAGTTTGTTTGTTTATGTTTTTGAAATTAGATATTAATATTTAATTAAACAAGTAGTATTGTACTTAATATGTGCATCTTAATTGATTGTCCAATAAATTAAAAGACTATCTTAAGAGATAAGAAATTAAGTAAAAAATACATTTAACAATATTCCATTAATTTAATAGACCGGACACCAAGTCAAGCCACTCTGGACTCTCTGGACACAGCGAGGTACTCGGAAGATGGTGGTGGTGACAGGGGTGGCAGTGGAGGGGATGTTGCGGTCCTTGAGTTTGAGTTGAGAAAAGCAAGAGAGACCATCAATGCTCTTAGAGCTAATCTAACTCAATTTGCTGGTAATTCATATTATACCTTCTATTATATTATTTTGTATTATAGCATATTGTTGTGAGCTATATTCTACTTGTCCAATAAGTATATATTATTCTTATTGGTTTATCTGAATAAAGTAAACAAACACGTCTAAATATTCTATTCTCTTTCTATTGTATCATACACTATTTTTATTCTAACTAAAGTGCTAATTAGTGACAACCTTGTATTTAAACTGTCAAACACCAAGCGGTCACCGGTGACCACAACCTATTGTTCTATAATTGTGTCTACAAAACCGGTACTTGACGAGTTAAGGTAAAATTTAAATTTTGGCTTTGTAATTTTGCATTGTTTTACAAAGTACCTACATTCATAATAAAAAATTATTTAATTTCAGAAAACAATAACATGGTAGGTATGAACATGAAATACCAAATAGGTACAAATTGAATAAGCCACAATTACATAAAATTATAGATCTGGTATAGAATTATAGAATAATTATACATTATTGTTTCAGATGGTGAATCTACACTAGACAAAAGTTCTAAAGATTTGTCTGACCAGCGATCCTTGAAACCACATGAAAAGAGAGCTTTAAACTTCCTAATCAATGAGTATCTTCTGTTACAAGATTACAAACTCACTTCCATCACATTTTCTGATGAGAATCCTGAACAGGTGAGTGTGTCAATTATTTAATTTCTTAATTTTATTTTTACACTAGTTACTTCCGCGTGGTTTTAATAGTAGATCATAGTGCCGCCTTGTATTGATTGTAGTGTGAAATTTTCTAGCCTATATTTTATAGTCTTCCTTAATAAATGGACTATCCAACACAAAAATATTTTTTTAAATTGGACCAGTATTTTCTGAGATTTATGTGTTTAAAGAAACAAACAAGCCGCATTATATAATTATATATGTTACAAGATACACCGCACCACCTTAAATATTAGTTATAAGATACAGGTATGATTGTAATATAATATTTTAGTGTCCACCACATTCATGCACCTATCTATGCATTTCTATATTAGGTAAATAAGAAAGTAATTTCAAAGAAAAAATTAAGTGTTGTAACAATAATTATGAGGAAACTTCTTTTACAGTCTTGTTTAATGTTGCAGAAGAAATCATCAATCATAATGACTTTTTAATTTTTTATTTACTCAGTTGTAGCATTCCATATTTATTTATTTATGCATGGTTAATTAAATTATATATGCTTACATTAACAAAACAAAGAACTGTAATAGAGTTGTGTGTTCCTCATTATAAATGCATGACATGCCATTATATCTGAATAGATACTACTGTAATAATACTAATGTTGGTTTGTACAAACATGCTTATATTGGAATGAAATAAGGTCATAATATACAAAATATAGCTAACTTCTACCAGCAGCTTTGCTCGCATTCCCCGCTCCGCAGATTAAAATTGCCCCATAATTATGTTATTCCAGACTGTTATAATTGCCCCATATGTTATTCCAGACTGCTATCTTTGTAACAAATTTCATTCAAATCTGTCCAGTAGTTTTTTTGTGAAAGGGTATATTTGTACATCCATACATTATTACATCTTCACAAACTTTCGCATTTACAATATTAAGTGTGGTAGGTAATCTTAATCTTGAAGAATGTGTTATTCACATATTGTGCAATTCACATCCTTAAAAGAGATGGTCTTTTAGGTTTTGTGTTATTAAAACCGAATAATTTATTTCTTATTCAGTTTGCGCTGCATCCAATTAATTGATAATTAATCATAATCTACTAGCATAATGAGGTGTAATATCGCATGACTACCACAAATTAAGTAGGAGTAAACCACACAAGAGTAGTTTATTTCCCAGTGGTTCGCAAGCAGGATATGCTCAAGGAAATATTGCAGGCATTATTACTGACCATACCTACCATCTTACATTCTTAACATTTATTCTTATTATTTCATAATACTTAATGTATATATATATAATAATAGTTATGCATTTCAATGATGTGTCTTCTTTTTATGTACTATTGTAGGTAATTTTATGCATTAGAATAGGTATCTTGTCTAATAGAATTCTTTACAAGGCGCGAAGTGACGCAAGCATCAAGGAAAACCGCAAAGTGTTTTGCTTTTCTTTTGTAAATCTCCGATAATGTCATGTTTGTTGAGTGTGTGTGCATCTTGATGTAAATATCACGTACTTTGTAGTGGATGGATAAGTAGGTAGATACCTGTCTAGTTTTGGCTATTTAGGTATATTAACTCGTCGAGTACCGTCATTATAGACACAATTATAGAACAATAGGTTGCGGTCACCGGTGACCGCTTGGTGTTTGACAGTTTAATCCGTTTTAACCGATTTCCCAATAAATAGGAGGTTCTCAATTGGCTGGTATATATAATATTATTATTTTTTTGTGATTAACGGATAGGTCCAACTCTACAATTTATTTTATCTAGTTATTGAGGATTTAAACTGTCAAACACCAAGCGGTCACCGGTGACCGCAACCTATTGTTCTATAATTGTGTCTACAAAACCGGTACTCGATGAGTTAAAGTAATTCAATATCGAAAAACCTAAAATGTCGATATTCGCGAACCCCATTACTTATTTGTAATACTTACGTATTGGGCACAAAAGCTTCTCCATTATTAGAAAACATTTCTACCAAAATATTATAATCAGCCATAATAAAAAAATGACTAAAATTACAGGAATTTGAAGACTGGGATGATGTTGGTCTCAACATGCCTCGTCCGGCGGGTCTGGTCTCATTATTTCGAGGGAATACCACCAGCATCAGTGTGCCCAAAGTAGATGCGTCTACGGAAACCAGCTGGGTATGTGTGGAGATGGCTTGTCAAACTGAACTGGATGAATCCAGTGTTTGTGTGAGCTGTCAAGCTCCACTGGACCAAGAGACTGATTGGAGTCATGAGGTAATAATTTTAAGTCATTTTTATATTCAAATTGTACTTTGTTGGTATTTAATCTGTAAAGATATCAAGAATTTTCGATATTGTATTTAATTTTTTGACATAATGTGGCTCTATAAGCTCCTATAAGGGGAACACAATATGCATACGTATTTTATCCATGTTATAATGTTCTATGATCAATAATAACTTATCAATTCACAGCTCCTAATCCAAGCTGAAGAGATAGAATTATTGAAACAAAAAATAATAGCTTTAGAGACTGAAAAATTAAACTTCCAAAAACTGTACGATGCTGCCATTGTTAGTTTGAATTCCCTCACGAGTCCAGCGTCAGAGGGCAAAGGCATCGATCTTCATATACCGGAGGACAAATTATTATCTGTGCAAAGGGTGGAACAGGGTTTAGAAGCCAAGCCTTTAACTTGCACAGCTTCGGAGAATCACTACGGAAGCAGTAACTCCACTCACAGTGCGACACCAGAACAATTTGAAATGATTGATAGTGAAAAAAATAGTGCAATGTAAGTACTGTATTACCCAATGATCTAGCTATATTATAGTATGGTATAATAAATTAGCGAACCCTACTAACTTTGTTTGGCCTTGGAAATTTTACTGCACATCTTTGTTAATGTTTTCACACATAATAACAAACCCAATAAAAAAAAATAACCGAAATCTGTTCAGCAGTTCTGGAGATTTGCGCTTAGCTACACATTCAGCAATTTGTTTTTATATTATACACGCTGACATATTGATGGTTGTTTTCCCGCAGCAGAACGATTTCCCTTTAGTAGTACTATCGAATAATGCAAGTTACTTTTTGAAAAAATAATTTTTTTTCTCCTCATATACTCAAAAAAATAATCATCAACTCGAAAGCATGAAAAACGATAGTTTCTCTTCTAAA